CTGTCTGAGTTTATTGAACTCTGAGCTGACGAGGATGCGAGACTTGAGCTATGAAGTTTACGAGCGCTGCGGTTGTGTATTGTCAACCACTCATAGAATTCCTTGTGCATGTCTGCTTCATTCGACATATGATTCTGACCTTTCGATTGAATTGGGAATTATCCATGAGTTCTGGAGGATACTAGAGATGTTAAAGCCAGGTAATTTAAGGTTAATGTTTCATTTACAACTTTTACTTTCTGATTAATTCTTAATTACAAATTAAAGTACATTACGTTGTTTAATTCTTTGATTTTTTGATCGTACACTTGTAGGGACAAATCACCAGAGCCAGGATAACCAGAGTGCATGGACAGGTGTTGATGTATTTCGGACGCTTGTGAAAGAGGTCGAAACAGACGATCCTGCGACAATTCGCTACATGAATCACCTCATATACGGTCAGCTTTACCCGGACCAACAAGCTTATGCAGAACTTGAGGTTAAGAAAAATACGTGAGGTCGTCCCAAGAAAACCAATTCAACTAAGCGATACGCGTGGACCGACAAGCGATTCTTCTCAACCGTCCGGTGGGCCGTACAAGCACTTCTTCGCGTGGACCGACAAGCGATTCTTTTCAACCGTCACAAGAGGCACCACAAGGTGATATTTTTTTTATATAACTGAGCGTTAATTAAAGTGTTAATATAAATTATATTATATAAATTATGAAGTGAAATTATTATGATGTTCCGGCCCAGGCTGATTCTCGCCCAAAACAGTAGGATGGGAAACCTGACGGTACTACTGCAAGTCTCCATAGTCGGCTCCCCTCGATCATTTGTGATGACCATATACATACTGGAGTTGACGGTGTGCAATACCGGGAACTGGTTCCACATAGATACTGCAGTGACATCAGAATGATCAACCTTGTAGAGCCTCAACTCCCAAGGACGGTTGGGCATGGATTGGCGTGAACATAGGGAGAGGGACGGTCTTGACATACCCCAACTGGCACAGAAACTGCACAGAAAAGTACGGCTCGACGATATCGCGGTACCGAATCAACCCGCAATAAAGAGTCCTCGACTCTATCTCGTGTGGGCTGGAGCTGTATGGCAACCATTGCACCTGTTCACAATTATATAAAAACATTTATAAATATATTTTTATTATTTTAAATAACGAGTAGATAAATTGAAATAAAATAACTTAACGTACATCAGAGGCAGTGAGTATGTCAACATTTCCGACGGATGGTCATGAGACGCTCTTATGACCTTTGAGTCGCCACTGCGCTCCACATCCTAGATCGTGCGGCGTCGTCAGGACCGAGGAGTAGACGCCCCTGGGGTCAAAAATTAGGAAAATACTCGTAAATCCAAAACTACATAAGAGTCAAGCAGCCGGACAGTCCATGCGAGTCCCCTATGCAGGCAATACCTAACTGTCGGTACAAGTATGCCAGCGTAGCAGATCCCCACGAGTAACCCCCAATGATATCCATGTCCTTAAGCACCTCAGCTAGGAGCTTGAGACCCACTCTTCTACCACTCTTGTCGACGAACAAGGTGGTAGACAACATCACCCAAATCTAGGCACCAGCCTCATCCAACGCCAATTGGCCTTTATCCTGAATTTCTCCACAATGGAGCCTTCGACCACCGAACCACGCTGCCAGAACAACTCAACGAGGTCAGGCTTTCCTGACCGAAAGGATATCCATGCAGTAAGCCTGGTAGGCCCCTGTATCTGGGCCCTCAACGACCACGACTCCGTCCACATGAACCCCAAAATGGCCCGGACATCGATTGAAACGAGTTAGTATCCGGCTGCCATTGATCCACAAATGCAATACACAGTGGAGTGTCCAAGTGGGCGTGCATGGAGTCTGCCAGATATGACAGTCCGGTACCTCAGAAGACATATCACCTCGCCAATCTTTTAGATTACCAACCGCTTGCAGTCTGTTATGGCGTTTCAGTACGCCTCGGCTCTCTCCATGCCACAATCGGGAGGCTACATACACTAGAAAGCTAGGGATCACACTCCCATCCATGGGTCCACCGGCCACTAGACCCTTAACGATCCAGGTTGCCTCATGATCAGTCCTAGATCGTTTTCTAGTACTTGCATTAGAATAGAACATAATGTCACTAACAGTACCGATAAATTGTTAAAATTAAGTCAAAATATTTAATGTCAAACAACAATAAATACATAAATTATTTACCTGAGGATCCATTGCTAGCAAAACGTCCCCCAGCCTGTCGTGGAGGAGTAGGTCGAACCGGCCGTGAAGGAGCCACACGATGTGCAGGAGCCGCAGGCTATGCAGGAACCGTAGGTCGTGCATGAACCGTAGACTGTGGTGGGGGTCTAGGAGAAAGAATATTGTCTTCATCATATGAAGATGCGTACTCGTCAGACTTATATGAAGGCTGCTCCCTCTGGGCCACCGACTCATCAACATAATATCCCTACTGACTGTGCGGTGTTGGTGCAGGGGGTATCGAACTGTATGTCTTACAAGCATAAACATATCCGTGCTGATGTGATAGTACAGTACTGGTCTAAGGACACGGAGTCTTGAGCTGTCTGGCTGGCCAGGCGCACCATGAAAATAATATCCATGTTGACCAATCGGTAGTGGTGGTGCGTGGAGTCTCGAACTGCCAGCCTGGCCAGCCTTACCAGTCTGTATCCTCCGAGCCTTTTCCGTCTCGCCTGTCGTTCCCGACGAACGAACGCATTTATATTTCGACTTACTGTGTGTCGGGCTCCAGAACCTTGAATATACTCATCGACCTCGTCGTCGTCCCTGACAAATTGTCCAGGTCTACTAATACCCTAAATCACTAATTTAAAATAATAATTAGTAAATATTTTTTAAAAAAATTTTATATTAAGATAAATTATATATGTGTAATTTT